TGACAGAGCTCTAGAGTTCCTCTGTGGAGATGGTTGTCCTTCTGGAAGGTTCTCCCATCCACGCAGATTAACTCTGGAGCCCTGAAACAGACTTTAAGAACATACAGGCTATGTGCCCACTGGCCACAAAATGAGGTGGAAACTGAGCTGCACTTCTTAACCTCCTGCCAAATGTATGACCATATTAGAGACACATATTTCCTTCAGATTACACAGATCCACAAAGAATTAGAAAACAGCCTTTATTATTTTGGGACTTCTGAGTGTAATGTTTACTGTTAATATTTATTGTTTAATTCACTTTTGTTTATTATCTATTCCACTTGCTTTGGCAATGTTAACATATGTTTCCCATGCCAATAAAGCCCTTACATTGAAATTGAATTTTGAGAGAGAGAGAGAGAGAGATATGGAGAGCGAGAGAGAGAGATATGGAGAGAGAGAAAGAGGGAGAGAGAGGGAGAAGGTATAGAGATGGAGAGAGAGAGGAGGTAGAAAGAGAGAGAGAGGAGAGAGAGACGAGGTAGAGAAAGACGAGGTAGAGAGCGAGAGAGAGACGAGGGAGAGAGAGACGAGGGAGAGAAAGAAACGAGGTAGAGAGAGAGAGACGAGTTGAGAGCGAGAGAGAGACGAGGTAGAGAGCGAGAGAGAGACGAGGGAGAGAGAGACGAGGGAGAGAAAGAAACGAGGTAGAGAGAGAGACGAGTTGAGAGCGAGAGAGAGACGAGGTAGAGAGCGAGAGAGAAACGAGGTAGAGAGCGAGAGAGAGCGAGACGAGAGAGAGAGCGAGACGAGGTAGAAAGAGCGAGACGAGGTAGAGAGAGCGAGACGAGGTAGAGAGAGAGAAACGAGGTAGAGAGCGAGAGAGAAACGAGGTAGAGAGCGAGAGAGAAACGAGGTAGAGAGCGAGAGAGAAACGAGGTAGAGAGCGAGAGAGAGCGAGACGAGGTAGAGAGAGAGATGAGGTAGAGAGAGAGAGAGCGGCGAGGGAGAGAGAGACGAGGTAGAGAAAGAAACGAGGTAGAGAGAGAGACGAGTTGAGAGCGAGACGAGGAAGAGAGACGAGGTAGAGAGAGAGAGAAGATGTAGAGATCGAGACAGATGTGGCAGGTAGACAGAGAGATGGAGAGAGAGAGACGAGGTAGAGAGATGAGAAAAAGACGAGGTGGAGAGATGAGAGAGAGGAGGTAGAGATGGAGAGAGAGGTAGTAGAAAGAGGTAGAAAGAGAGAGAGATGTGGTAGGTAGACAGAGATGGAGAGAAGGTAGAGAGAGAGAGAGAGACGAGGTAGAGAGAGACGAGGTAGAGAAAGAAACGAGGTAGAGAGAGAGCGAGACGAGGTAGAGCGAGCGACGAGGTAGAGAGCGAGACGAGGTAGAGAGCGAGAGAGAGACGAGGTAGAGAGCGAGACGAGGTAGAGAGAGCGAGACGAGGTAGAGAGAGCGAGAGAGACGAGGTAGAGCGAGCGACGAGGTAGAGAGCGAGAGAGAGACGAGGTAGAGAGCGAGAGAGAGACGAGGTAGAGAGCGAGACGAGGTAGAGCGAGAGAGAGACGAGGTAGAGCGAGCGACGAGGTAGAGAGCGAGAGAGAGACGAGGTAGAGAGCGAGAGAGAGACGAGGTAGAGAGCGAGACGAGGTAGAGCGAGAGAGAGACGAGGTAGAGAGCGAGAGAGAGACGAGGTAGAGAGCGAGAGAGAGACGAGGTAGAGAGCGAGTCGAGGTAGAGAGAGCGAGACGAGGTAGAGAGAGCGAGAGAGACGAGGTAGAGAGCGAGAGAGAAAGGTAATATTAGGTCATATTAGGTGATCTAGCTAGCTAGCCAATTAGATAATATGCCTGAACACATGGTTTATGAATGTAAAATGCGGTCCGCTATAGGATACAAGAAATGTACAAGAAATGATGCGCTGGTAATATGGGCCGGATCTTTAATATAATAATGGGCCGGATCTGTAATATGGGCCGGATCTGTAATATGGGCCGGATCTGTAATATGGGCCGGATCTGTTGACGTGGCTGGGCTAGAAGCAAGCCGTTTTCGCTGTAGTAATGGAACAAACATGAAGATACCGAATCTGCACTCACTCTTGTTTTTAGGAAACAAAAAAAGGTACAGTGGACCCTAATCATTACAACAATTATCTGGGAGACTTTTTTCATAGATGCAAAATAAAACTCCTGGTCGTCCAGCAAACTATTTGGTCGCACTTTAGAGCCCTGATCCATTCTCTGTCACACGACCCACACTGCCGCCCACTCCGTCACGCTGCTACCGCCCACTCCGTCACGCTGCTACCGCCCACTCCGTCACGCTGCTACCGCCCATTCCGTCACGCTGCTACCGCCCACTCCGTCACGCTGCTACCGCCCACTCCGTCACGCTGCTACCGCCCACTCCGTCACGCTGCTACCGCCCACTCCGTCACGCTGCTACCGCCCACTCCGTCACGCTGCTACCGCCCACTCCGTCACGCTGCTACCGCCCACTCCGTCACGCTGCTACCGCCCACTCCGTCACGCTAATGCCCAGTGTTCTACTACCCGCACGGTTGGAACATACTGCCAAATTCTCTAAAACGCTGTTGGAGGCGGCTTATGGTAGAGAAATAAACACTAAATTCTCTGGCAACATCTCTGGTGGACATTCCTGCAGTCATCATGCCAATTGCACGCTCCCTCAAAACATGAGACATCTGTGGCATTGTGTTGTGTGACAAAAATGCACATTTTAGAGTGGCCATTTATTGTCCCCAGCACAAGGTGCACCTGTGTAATGATAATTAATTAGCTTCTTGATATGGAACCTGGCGCAGACGAAGATGGCGGCCTCGCGACTACCTCTTAGGAAACTTTGCAGTATTTTGTTTTTTTATGTATAATTTTTTACATTGTTATCTCAGAAAGTGTTTTGTATCATTACATACAGCCGAGGAAAACTATTGGATATCAGAGCGGCGGTAACTTGGGATATTCTGTCGAAATCGGTCCAGCCAGAGGGGTTCTCAGTTCTTCGCGCAGACAGGAATAAATATCTCTCCGGGAAGCAGAAGGGCGGAGGTGTGTGTTTCATGATTAACAACTCATGGTGTAATTGTAGTAACATAGAGGAACTCGAGTCCTTCTGTTCACCCGACCTAGAATATCTCACAATCAAATGCCGACCGTATTTTCTCCCAAGATAATTTTCTTCGGTTATAGTCACGGCCGTGTATATCCCCCTCAAGCTGATACCACGACGGCCCTCAAAGAACTACGCTGGACTTTATGCAAACTGGAAACCACATATCCTGAGGCTGCATTTATTGTAGCCGGGGATTTTAACAAAGCAAATTTGGGGACTAGGCTGCCGAAGTTCTATCAACAAAATCGACTGTTGTACTCGCTCTACCAAATTCCTCGACCATTGCTATTCAAACTACCGGGGTGGCTACAAGGCCCTCCCCGCCCTCCTTTCGGCAAATCTGACCACGACTCCATTTTGCTCCTCCCTTCCTATAGGCAGAAACTCAAACAGGAAATACCCGTGCTAAGGACTATTCAACGCTGGTCTGACCAATCGGAATCCACGCTTCAAGATTGTTTTGATCACGCGGACTGGGATATGTTCCGGGTAGCTTCCAAAAATAATTTAAACGAATGCACTGAAACGGTGACTGAGTTTATCAGGAAGTGTATAGGTGATGTTGTGCCCACTGTGACTATTAAAACCTACCCTAACCAGAAACCGTGGATAGACGGCAGCATTCGCACAAAACTGAAAGCGCGAACCACCGCATTTAACCATGGCAAGGTGACTGGGAATATGGCAGAATACAAACAGTGTAGCTACTCACTCCGCAAGGCAATTAAACTGGCAAAACATCAGTATAGAGACAAAGTGGAGGCGCAATTCAACGGCTCAGACACAAGACGTATGTGGCAGTGTCTACAGACAATCACGGACTACAAAAAGAAAACCAGCCACGTCGCCGACACCGACGTCTCGCTTCCAGACAAGCTAAACACCTTCTTCGCCCGCTTTGAGGATAACACAGTGCCACTGACGAGGCCCACTACCAAGGACTGTGGCCTCTCCTTCTCCGTGGCTGATGTGATTAAGACATTTAAGCATGTTAACCCCCGCAAGGCTGCCGGCCCAGACGGTATCCCTAGGCGCGTCCTCAGAGCATGCACAGACCAGCTGGCTGGTGTGTTTATGGAAATATTCAATCTCTCCCTTTCCCAGTCTGCTGTTTCCACATGCTTCAAGATGGCCAATAGATCCACAGACGATGCAATCGCCATCACACTGCCCTATCCCATCTGGACAAGAGGAATACCTATGTAAGAATGCTGTTCATTGACTATGGCTCAGCATTCAACACCATAGTACCCTCCAAGCTCATCATTAAGCTTGAGGCCCTGGGTCTGAACCCCGCCCTGTGCAACTGGGTCCTGGACTTCCTGATGGGCCGCCCCCAGGTGGTGAAGGTAGGAAACAACATCTCCACTTCGCTGATCCTCAACACAAGGGTGCATGCTCAGCCCCCTCCTGTCCTCCCTGTTCACCCATGACTATCCTAAGCCAGGTTGAACAGCACTATCCTAAACCAGGTTGAACAGCACAATCCTAAGCCAGGCTGAACAGCACAATGCTAAGCAAGGCTGAACAGCACTATCCTAAACCAGGTTGAACAGCACTATCCTAAACCAGGTTGAACAGCACAATCCTAAGCCAGGCTGAACAACACAATCCTAAGCAAGGCTGAACAGCACAATCGTAAACCAGGCTGAACAGCACTATCCAAGCCAGGTTGAACAGCACTATCCTAAACCAGGCTGCCAGTTACAACAGATCAGTTCTGCACCGTCAGCATCTTTATGCAAACAATAACAGATGAACTCAGAACAGAAGCATGTGATGTCATGACGAGATCATTTCAGGAACTAGAGCAAGTTGGTGTGAAACTTCTTGATTGTGTCCCAAATGGCATCCTATTTCCTAACCTATAGTGGACTACTAGACCCATAAGGCCCTGGTCAAAAGTATTACAGGTGTAATATAGCTGTGGATTAATGGTGAATAAACTCAACTTTAACACATACTAAAGTATGTGGACACCCCTTCAAATTAATGGATTCGGCTATTTCAGCCATGGCCGTTGCTGACAGATGTATAAAATCGAGAACATAGCCATGCGATCTCCATAGACAAAAATTGGCAGTAGAATGGCCTTACTGAAGAGCTCAGTGACTTTCAACGTGGCACCATCATAGGATGCCACCTTTCCAACAAGTCAGTTCGTCAAATGTCTGCCCTGCTAAACCTTCCCCAGTCAACTGTAAGTGCTGTTATTGTGAAGTGGAAACGTCTAGGAGCAACAACGGTTCAGCCGCGAAGTGGTAGGCCACACAAGCTCACAGAACGGGACCGCCGAGTGCTGAAGCACGTAGCACGTAAAAATTGTCTGTACTCGGTTGCAACACTCACTACCGAGTTCCAAACTGCCTCTGGAAGCAACGTCAGCATTAGAACTGTTTGTTGGGAGCTTCATGAAATGGGTTTCCATGGCAGAGCAGCCGCACACAAGCCTAAGATCACCATGCGTAATGCCAAGCGTCAGCTGGAGTTGTGTAAAGCTCGCCACCATTGGACGCTGGAGCAGTGGAAACGCGTTCTCTGGAGTGATGAATCATGCTTCACCATCTGGCAGTCTGACGGACAAATCTGGGTTTGGCGGATGCCAGGAGAACGCTACCTGCCCCAATGCATAGTGCCAACTGTAAAGTGTGGTGGAGGAGGAATAATGGGCTGGGGCTGTTTTTCATGGTTTGGGCTAGGCCCCTTAGTTCAAGTGAAGGGAAATCTTAATGCTACAGCATACAATGACATTCTAGACAATTCTGTGCTTCCAACTTTGTGGCAACAGCTTGTTTCAGCATGACAATGCCCCCGTGCACAAAGCGAGGTCCATACAGAAATGGTTTGTCGAGATTGGTGTGGAAGAACTTGACTGGCCTGCACAGAGCCCTGCCCTCAACCTCATTGAACACCTTTGGGACGAATTGGAACGGCAACTGTGATCCAGGCCTAATCGCCCTACATCAGTGCTACTAATCACTAATGCTCGTGGTTGACTGGAAGCAAGTCCCCGCAGCAATGTTCCAACATCTAGTGGAAAGTCTTCCCAGAAGAGTGGAGGCTGTTATAGCAGCAAAGGGGGACCAACTCCATATTAATGCCCATGATTTTGGAATGAGATGTTCGACAGGCAGGTGTCCACATACTTTTGGTCATGTAGCGCACGCTTACCATGGTATATCATTTACATTACATTTACATTTTAGTCATTTAGCAGACTAAGAGCGACTTACAGGAGCAATTAGGGTTAAGTACCTTGCTCAAGGGCACATCGACAGATTTTTCACCTAGTTGGCTGGGGGATTACAACCAGCGACCTTTCGGTTACTGGCACAACGCGCTTTACCACTAAGCTACCTGCTACCTGGTTGAATGAATGTATGGACCTGTTCCATACTGTAGTCATGCATGGTACAGGCCTATAGGCTGAAATACATGATGTATACAGGCTATATGACGACTTAGGAAACATTGTGATTTAATTAAAAGATGCATAATGCAGAAATCGCTCCGCCATTTCCTGGTTGCTAAAATTCTACTAGTTCGACTAATTTCAGTTTATGTGACAAAACAAATCAAGTATAGTGTAGAGAATCATTGTGCTATCTAAACAAAAGCTGTTAAATAAATGTAACATCAGCTGAAAATGCAATATTTTTGCTTATGTACAAATCCGAAAGTAAAAGACACTAAAACTAAAAACTTAATGGGGTACATAGAAACAGCCTCTTAAGACTCGCCTTCAATGAGAATGACAGATATATAACTCACAATTCTATGTGAATTTGGTCGGGTCGGCCAAAAAGTTTCATATCGCAGCTTTAACTTAACCTGGCTACTTACTTTAGTCCTTCCATTTATTGTAAAGTTTCCCAGCTGACCGTTACAATGTCTGACCAGATCATCCATACGGCTCATGAGGAAGCGGATCTTCTCACAGCCGGCCTCTCGGCCCTCGATCCATGTGATCTTATCCCCCCTAATGTCTTTAGTGGAGTCACTTTTCTGACTGACCAACTGACCGTCGGTAAACTTCCCGGTTTTATGCAGCACCTTGACATCCTCCAGGATGGCCAGCCCCGTTTCCCCGCCGAGGAAGTTGTCAACTACACAGATCCCATGCTTAGTCATACACGGGACTATGTACTCCATGGCGAGTTTCTGCGGCGTGGACCGGGTGGTGGTTTGTCCGTTGGGTTTGGTATTGTTATTAGACCCGCCTGGCTGATCGACCGAGGACCCCGAGCACTCTGCGTTAGTTATAAAACCTTTCATTCTAGTCTCTCCGCTCCGAGATGCGGTGTTGTCGGGTTCGACGCGTGTCTTCAGCTCCGCTGGTGGTCCTTTTTGTGGCGGTAGTGTCTGTCCCTCTGTCCCCCCATCCCCAGACGGTACCCGACGTTCAGCAGGCTTCTGGTTTGAAACCTGCGACTTCGCCTCAGATTCTTTACAGAGGAGTTTGTGCATTTTCCAGTGCTGCTTCTGGTGTTCCTTGCTGCAGTAGAACGAGTTCCGACACCGGCTGCACTTGAGGAGATTCTCCATTTTCCCACAAAGTTCACAATACTGTCTTTCCCGCTCCAAGTCCAGAGCAGTCTGGGCTGCAGTCTCATGTTTAGTCTCCATGTTTGCAGTTGGAAGTAACGTTTGTTAGCTAGTGTGTTACGGTGTTTAAATCCAATCCTTTACACCGCTACTGAGAAGTTTGGAAGTGATCCACACAGAGCTCCAGCCCAGCCTGCCACGCCACACAGAGTGAAACGGAAAAGCAGCTCCCGACGATTTAAGACCCGATAATTTCATCACACGTATTCCGCGGTTTACTTTATATTACACGGTAATAGGAGTGTCGGTGCGTTCGAACGCAACATTTCGATAAGACTGGTCGTCGGGACGTTTTGTAGCGAGGAGCAAGCTATCGGTCCGTCTTACTACGCTCTCCCTCTCTCTGGGGCGTATTATTTACCCAGAGTCTGTTGCAAAACCTTTCTTAAACGGAAGCGAAGAAAATAGGGCGGGACATACCTGAATTTGTCCAATAGAAACTCTAGTTTAGTTGCAAATCGGATTGGTATTGTTTACACATCTGGGCTGCGTTCAGTACGTTTTTACGTTCTGGAACGTTCAATTGAACGGAAATGGTGCTGTACTGAACGACAAGTTGAAAAACGGATTGAGTTGGGGAACACAGTCAGCATGGCCACTGCCCTTTAAATACGTCACTCATTGCTTCAAGCCACACCTCGCCACACCCACCACATTGGAGAAAATGTACCTCAAAGTATGTTCAAGAACGTACAATAACGTTTTGGAGAAACGTCGTTAAATACAAACCGTTCCACAACGTAGCAAACGTTCAAGCGAACTGAACGCACCTATGATGTCGGCAACGAAACCCTGCCTACTGGTCCAATGTCAGCAGCTGGGCCTCCTCCCTCTAAACCTGCAATGTGTAACGTTTTGGGAGACCCGACCAAATTCACATAGAAATGTGCGGTATAAATGTGTCATTCATTGAAAACAAGTTAAATATGCGGTAGATCTGTTCTATGTCCTATATTTCTATGCTTTCCGTTCTTAAGTTTCATTTTGCATCTTTTACTTTTCAAATCAAATCTAACTTGATTTGTCACATGCGCCTAATACAACAGGTGTAGACCTTAACATGAAATGCTTACTGACAAGCCCTTAACCAACAATGCAGTTCAAGAAAGAGTTAAGAAAATATTTACTAAATAAACAAAAGTAAAAAATAATACAAAGTAAAACAATAAAATAACAATAACGAGGCTATATACAGAGTGTACCGGTACCTAGTCAATGGGCTGGGGAACAGGTTAGTCCAGGTAATAACGAGGCTATATACAGGGGGTACCGGTACCGAGTCAATGGGCTGGGGTACAGGTTAGTCGAGGTAATAACGAGGCTATATACAGGTTGTACCGGTACCGAGTCAATGTGCTGGGGAACAGGTTAGTCCAGGTAATTTGTACATGTGGGTAGGGGTAAAGTGACTCTACATAGATAACAGACAGCGCGGGGGTCTTGGCGCTCCGGTACCGCTTGCCGTGCGGTAGCAGAGAGAACAGTCTATGACTTGGGTGACTGGAGTCTTTGACAACTTTTAGGGCCTTCCTCTGACACCGCCTGGTATAGTGGTCCTGGATGGCAGGAACCTTGGCCCCAGTGATGTAATGGGCCATACGCACTACCCTCTGTAGCGCCTCATGGTCGGATGCCGAGCAGTTGCGATACCTGGGGGTGATGCAACCGGTCAGATTGCTCTCGATGGTGCAGCTGTAGAACTTTTTGAGGATCTGGGGACCCATGCCAAATCTTTTCAGTCTCCTGAGGGGGAAAAGGTGTTGTCGTGCCCTCTTCACGACTGTCTTGGTGTGTTTGGACCATGATAGTTTGTTGGTGATGTGGACACCAAGGGACTTGAAACTCTCAACCTGTTCCACTACAGCCCTGTCGATGTGAACGGGGGCCTGTTCGGCCCTCCTTTTCCTGTAGTCCACGATCATCTCCTTTGTCTTGCTCACATTGAGGGAGAGGTTGTTATCCTGGCATCACACTGCCAGGTCTCTGACCTCCTCCCTATAGGCTGTATCATCATTGTCGGTGATCAGGCCTACCACCGTTGTCGTCAGCAAACTTAATGATGGTGTTGGAGTCGTGCCTGGCCATGCAGTCATGGGTGAACAGGGAGTACAGGAGGGGACTGAGCACGCACCCCTGAGGGGCCCCCGTGTTGAGGATCAGCGTGGCAGATGTGTTGTTGCCTACCCTTACCACCTGGGGGCGGCCCGTCAGGAAGTCCAGGACCCAATTGCAGAGGGAAGTGTTCAGACCCAGGGTCCTTAGATTAGTGATGAGCTTGGAAGGCACTATGGTGTTGAACGCTGAGCCTGACCAGCCTTTCAAAGCACTTCATGGCTACCAATGTGAGTGCTACGGGGTGCTACTCTGTCTCCCTTGTGGCGCAGTGGTCTAAGGCACTTGCTGTGCCACTAGAGATCCTGGTTCGTATCCAGGCTCTGTCGTAGCCGGCTGCGACCGGGAGACCCATGGGGCGGCGCACAATTGGCCCAGCGTCATCCAGGGTAGGGGAGGGAATGGCCGGCAGGGATGTAGTTCAGTTGGTAGAGCATGGTGTTTGCAACGCCAGGGTTGTGGGTTCGTTTCCCACGGGGGGCCAGTATGAAAAAAATAAAAAATAAAATGTATGGACTCACTAACTGTAAGTCGCTCTGGATAAGAGTGTTTGCTAAATGACTAAAATGTAAAAAATGAAATAATTTAGGCAGGTTACCTTCGCTTCCTTGGGCACAGGGACTATGGTGGTCTGCTTGAAACATTTAGGTATTACAGACTCGGTCAGGGAGAGGTTGAAAATGTCAGTGAAGAAACTTGCCAGTTGGTCCGCGCATGCTTTGAGTACACATCCTGGTAATCTGTCACTGGGCAGCTCGCGGCTGGGTTTCCCTTTGTAGTCCGTAATAGTTTTCAAGCCTGCCACATCCGACGTGCATTAGAGCTGGTGTAGTAGGATTCAATCTTAATCCTGTATTGACGCTTTGCCTGTTTGATGGTTCGTCTGAGGGCATAGCGGGATTTCTTATAAGCGTCCGGATTAGTGTCCCGCTCCTTGAAAGCGGCAGCTCTACCCTTTAGCTCAGTGCGGATGTTGCCTGTAATCCATGGCTTCTGGTTGGGATATATACGTACGCTCACTGTGGGGACGACGTCGTCGTTGCACTTATTGATGAAGCCGATGACTGATGTGGTGTACTCCTCAATGCCATTGGATGAATCCCGGAACATGTTCCAGTCTGTGCTAGCAAAACAGTCCTGTAGCTTAGCATCTGCGTCATCTGACCACTTTTTATTGACCGAGTCACTGGTGCTTCCTGCTTTAGCTTTTGCTTGTAAGCAGGAATCAGGAGGATAGAGTTATGGTCAGATTTGCCAAATGGAGTGCGAGGGAGAGCTTTGTATGCATCTCTGTGTGTGGAGTAAAGGTGGTCTAGAGTTTTTTTTTCCTCTGGTTGCACATTTAACATGCTGGTAGAAATTAGGTAGAACGGATTTAAGTTTGCCTGCATTAAAGTCCCCGGCCACTAGGAGCGCCACTTCTGGATGAGCGTTTTCCTGTTTACTTATGGCCTTATACAGCTCATTCAGTGCAATCTTAATGCCAGCATTGGTTTGTGGTGGTAAATAGACAGCTATGAAAAATATAGATGAAAACTCTCTTGGTAGATAGTGGGTCTACAGCTTATTACCTCAGGCGAGCAATACCTCAAGACTACCTTAATATTAGACATCGTGCACCAGCTGTTATTGACAAATAGACACACCCCCCACACCTCGTCTTACCAGACGTAGCTGCTCTGTCCTGCCGATGCACAGAAAACCCAGCCAGCTCTATATTATCCGTGTCGTCGTTCAGCCACGACTTGGTGAAATATCTTATAGTTTTTAAAGTCCCGTTGGTAGGATATTCTTGATTGTAGATAATCCAGTTTATTTTCCAATGATTGGCCAGGTTTAGTCCCTCGCAGCCCGACCTCCGCCCCCTTCTTCATCCCCTCCGGCCCGACCTCCGCCCCCTTCTTCATCCCCTCCGGCGCCACCAGCTTCAAACAGCTGAAAATACAATATTTTTGTTTATGGAAAATATATTTCACAGCGGTTTAGATGGTACAATGATTCTCTACACTATACTTGCTTGTTTTGTCACATAAACTGAAATTAGGCAAACTATTAGAATTTTAGCAACCAGAAAATGGCGGAGCGATTTCTCCATAGTGCATCTTTAAATCCAGCAGAAAAAAAGAGGAAGGATTTAATTCACAGTAAACAATATATTTCTGGCAACAAAACAAAAAAAGTAGCCTACACTTCTACAACTCGTAGCACACCTAAAATACTGACTTTGTTAAGGGGCAAATTATATATTCTATTCTACTGGTTTTGTTCCCATTTCATTATAAAAATATAAAATAAAAATGACTAAAATGTAAATGTAAATGTAAATAGCCTATGCCCCAAAACACCAGTACACCAGTAGAATGTTCTCTCATCCAGAGTTAGATCTTTCTATTTAAAAGGCAACTGTAAGCCCAACACCGAGACTACAAAATAATAACATTATCTCCTCAAAATCTCATCTCTGTTTTTATAAGAATAGGCCTACATAGTAATAATAAATAATAAATAAATATTAATAAAAAGTGCATAACATAATTTGACATTTTGAAGGCTGTGCATAGAAAAAAGAACCTTCTGTGCACCATGTTAAATAAAATAAAATCAAAGGTTATTGGTCAGATTTAAAGATGTTATCGAAGGTGCAGCAGTAACACCTCGCAACACAATACACACATAATAAAAAAATAAAAAAATAAATTAAGAAATATCAGAAAAAACAATGTCAGATTCCAGAATATACAGTGGGGAAAAAAGTATTTAGTCAGCCATCAATTGTGCAAATTCTCCCACTTAAAAAGATGAGAGAGGCCTGTAATTTTCACCATAGGTACACGTCAACTGTGACAGACAAATTGAGAAGAAAAAAATCCAGAAAATCACATTGTAGGATTTTTAATGAATTTATTTGC